AGCAACAGAAGTTGTGTCTTTGCAGTGACAGTTTGTGACGTCTTGAAGAAGAATCTCATCATGTTCATGTTTTCAGTGACTTTTAGTTGATCTTAGTGGTCTTAATATTTTAGTATTTCATATTTATTTCATTCTAGACATTCACATCACAAGTTCTGATCCTGTTCAGTTGTTTTTGTGTGTGTTTTATGTATTATATGAATGTTATATCCAGTTTTCTGTTTTGCTTTTTGCACATATTTTTGCAACACTTTGGTCAAATCAGGTTGTTTACAAAGTCCAGTAAAAAATAAACTGAAGTGGATTTAATCTGAATCAAAATCATACAGGTTGGTAACCAGTCCTGTGTGACTGTGAGAATAGTTCTAGAAGGTTAATTAGCATGTTATCCAGCAGTTTTCTCTTATTTTTCACCTCTGTTCAGTTCTTTCTTTATCAATACGTCACATGAAAGTCAAACCTCACAGTCAGGCGGCAGATAATAAACAGAACAGGAAGACTGTGTGGTTGTTTTCTGGGTGTTTTATTTCTTGTCTCATCTTTACAGTCACAGCTCCTCGTCTTGGTTTGACTTTAGTTCCTCTAGTTGTAGTTCCTTAAAAGCATCTTTCTCACGGTCTGTTTCATGTGTTTGTCTTGAGCAATATCTGGCACAAGATTAATAAAGCCTTATCTTATCTTATCTTATCTGATCTTATCTTATCTTATCTTATCTTATCTTATCTTATCTTATCTTATCTTATCTTATCTTAGACTGTATTTGTTGTCTTTCAGTTCCTGCTCTGGAGATGGACTACGTCAACGTCACAGAGGTCAGTAAATGTCAGACACCTGAGCTTCATCAGTGTTGGTGAAAGCAGCTGATTGACTCAAACTAAACTCCTCCTCTTCATCTTCATCTTCCTCCTGCAGTCCAACCGAGTCATTGAGATCAGAGATGACGGACAGAACAGTTCTGCTCCTGTGGAAGTATCTTCAATTTACTGCAACGCCAAGAACAGCAAACCAATCAGAGCTGAAGACAGCTCAGCTTAACCAGCTGTCATCTGAACAAAGTAAGAAAACTGTGGTGGGATTTTATCTTTCAGGTCAGAACTCTGTACAGTTTA